GGCCAGCAGAGGACAGCACGGTGCACCCCTCTGATACCAGAACTCCTGCCCAAGCCGGCCCTGAGCCACGAGAGCCCTGGAGGCTGGGAAGGGATGTGTGCGGACCCAGCAGAGGCACAGGGAGCTCCCAGCAGAGCAGAGGGCAGGCGGGTCCTGTCTGCACGCCGGCCTGGCAGCTGGGGGCAGGTGGCCGTGTTTCCATCATTCCCCCCACCCGCCCAAGGATTCTGGGGCTTGAGAAGGGATCTGGGTCATAAGGTCTCTGAGGGCTAGAACGGCCCTGGGTTCTGTGGATTTGACCAAGAATCTCAGGATGGAAAGCTGAGACAACCAACTGAAAATGCAAACGAGGCCAAGCCAGTCGACTTAGGAGGGCACCTCCCCAAGCCTCTGTGTGCGGGTGGTGCTCAGTGAGGCCAGATCTCTTCTTATAAGCACTTGGCTTCTGCCTTCAGATCAGCGTGGTGCGCCGGCTGTAGCGCGCCGGCCGCGGCGGCCATTGGAGGGTGAACCAGCGGCAAAGGAAGACCTTTCTCTCTGTCTCTCTCTCTCACTGTCCACTCTGCCTGTCAAAAAAAAAAAAAATATTCATTTATTCTCTCTTTCATTCATTTATTTGAAAAGCAAAAGTAACAGCGAGAGAGCTTGCATCTACTGGTTCACTCCCAAATGCCCACAGCAGCCAGGGCTGGCCCCAGCTGGTGCCAGGAGCCAAGAGCTCCATCCAAGTCTCACATGTGAGTGGCAGGGTCCCAAGTGCTTGGGCCTTCATCTGCTGCTAATGCCTTGTGTTAGCCGGAAGCCAGATCAGAAGTGGAGCAGCCAGCAGTGGAACCAGTGCTCTGATATGCAGTGCAGGAATTGCAAGCAGCGCCTAACCCACTGTGCCACATTCCTGCCCCAGAACTTTGCATGTTTTTTATAAAAAAAAAAAAATGTATTTGAAAGGCAGAATTACAGAGAGAGGCAGAGAGAGACAGAGATCTTCCATCCACTGGTTTGCTCCCTAAGTGGTTGCAACAGCCGGGTCTGAGCCAGGCTAAAGCCAGGAGCCAGGAGCTTCTTCTGGGTCTTCCACAGGTCCCATGCAGGGACCCAAGCATTTGGGTCGTCTTCCACTGCTTTCCCAGACCATTAGAGGGGAGCTGGATCGGAAATGGAATAGCCGAGACTGAAACCAGTACCCGTATGGCATGCTGGTGCTGCGGCGGTGGCTTTACCCACGATGCCACAGTGCCAGCCTCCTAGATCTTTTCATTTCTGAAGAAGCAGCCAGAAACCCAAATCTGTAGGCCAAAGCCACCAGGGTGTAAATGGTCCCTACAGCAAATACAGACTTGATGTGAACAAAGCAAAACTCAGCTGCCGGCCCTGGGGCCCCATGGCAGGCTCATAGAACCCAGATCTGGCAGGGAAAGCTAAAAGCCCAGAGGCCCACAGGAGAGAGGGGGCTGATCCAAGCTCCCAAAGCCACAGTGTTGTGTTTGTTTGTTTTAAAGATTTATTTTATTTATTTGAAAGCGATTTATAAGAGAGAAGTAGAACCAGAGAGAGAGAAAGGTCATCCATCCACTGGTTCACTCCCCAAATGACCACAATGGCCAGAGATGTGCTGATCCAAAGCCAGGAGCTTCTCCCAGGTCTCTCACGCAGGTGCAGGGTCCCAAGGACTTGGGCCACCATCTTCTGCTGCTTTCCCAGGCCACAGCAGAGAGCTGGATAGGAAGAGGAGCAGCCAGGACTCGAACCAGTGCCCATATGGGATGCCGGTGCTTTAACCCGGCTGCACCACAGCACCGCTCCCCTTTGAATAGAGCTTGGACTCAAATCCGGTGTTCTGACTCCAAGTGCGGTACTCCTATCAGTGGGCCCAAAATAGAAGGCTGACCTTTGTGTGGTATTTTTGTGCTTGAAGAATGCCAGAGTTGTTCCTTAGTTCATCTCCGCAGAATAATGGGCAGAGCGCTGCCGGGGGCAGCAGGAAGACCCGGGGGCTCCTGGAAGGCAGGGGATGTGTTTCACCATCGGCACGGTCCACCCGCTTCGGAAGCGTCCTGCCGCGTCCTGTGGGGAGCTGATGGAGCAGAGGCCAGCACAGGTGGGGGTTGTGGCCATCAGGGCCTGGAGCTCCAGTCTGTGTTCCTCTCCCCAGCCTCCCTTTTTGTCCCTAGTTTAAAATAATCTTCCTAGCAGCGCCTTGGGAAACTCTGCCAGGCACAGAAAACACAAGTTCGGCTCAGCCGCACCACCTGGGTCTCACCGCTTCCGCGTCCCTGCCTCCAGTCTACAGGGGTGGGGGGCTGCCAATGCTTTGTAGAAAATGCGTATTAGGGAAAAAAACAGGCATGGTTTTCGAATTGGGGGAACCCAAAGAAGCTTGTCTTTGTAACTGCATTTCCATGAGCTGCTCCAGTTACCCTGGTGTTGCCCGTGCTCCGGGCCAGCGCCCGCCTTTGTCACTGCGGGGAGCACGCGGGCTGCGCCTTGTGTGCGCCCTGCTCCAGCCTGAATCCCTCCTCCCGGCCGCTGTGGTGGCTGCAGCGGCAGGCTGTGTCACGCGCGTCCGTCCGTTAGTGTCCATCCGCTCACGCCCGCCCAGTGCCCACAGGGCGCGTCGTCACTCCCTGTCCTCCCCCAGGCCTTCGAACATCCTTGTCACTCATCGTGTGGCTGCACTCGCGTGGCCCCCGCGGCACAGATCCCTGCATGCAGGGTGGGTCAGCTGGCAGGGAATCCACGCTGTGCCCTCTGGCACCCAGTTTGCAGGCTCTTCTTGAGACACACCCGGGGAGAGCCCAGAATCTTCCGTATGGGAGGCCTGTTTGCCTGTCTGCTGTCCCGTGCCCTGCAGCCTGTGTGTCCGCCATGTCTTGGCAGCCCCTGTGTGCTTGACCAGAAAGCTGCCAGCGCCCCCGCCAAAGCTCGCTCTTCTGGACCCACGGGAGGGGTGCCATGGCCCTCCACAGTTCTCCCACGGTCTCCTGACCTCTGATGCGGCGGATCCACCCGCCGAGCGTTCTCCACCTTGACTTGGGAAAGAGCCTGGGCACCCTCGTGGTCCCAGTGTCGCCGGGGACAGCGCGAGGACGGAAGGGAGGGAGGTGGGGTTTCTGTGGTAGCAGGTGGGGGAAGGACGGCCGGGTGCCTGCACTCAGCCAGGCCTTGCCCAGGGCCGAGGACACAGGTTTGGGGGTGTATTTGTTTACTTTATCCTATTGAGCGCACAGCGAGTGGCAATTTTATGGCCAGGTATGGCTTGACCTCAGCCTGCCCTGCGCCTTCTCTGCGGCCCCACTCGCCTCACTCCAGACGTGTGATGGCAATAAACCGAGGACGTGGTATCACGGCAACTCACCAGAGTTTGGAAGAGGACAAGAGAAAGGATGTGGCTTCCAAGAAGGGAGTGTGACCGACCCGGGCCGGACTCGTCCCCGTGGGTCCAGGCGCTGTTGTCGGGGAGTGGCCGAGGCATCATCCAGCCCTGTGCTTGTGGCGCTGATGAATGGGCCGCTTGGGAGAAGCTGCCTTGATGTTTTGATTAGTACCGGGGTGATTCTTGTTCAAGGCAAGTAAGCAGCTTGTAGACTGGGGGGTTGCCACTGTAGGTGATGAAGGAGGAAGCAGCTGTAACGCGGGCTCTGCGAGGCCGCGGCTGAGTGTCCCTGAGGACTTTTCCTGTCCAGTGTCTGGATTTGCCAGATGTTGGCCGGCAGCCCCGGCGCACACACAACTGGTCACATCGTGTCGTGCCTAGAACTTCTGTTGCTTCCAACCCCGACAGCCCTCCAGGGCGGAGCGAGCCTCTGACAGGGAGTCTGGGCTCTCCCCTCCTGGCTGTGATTGGCCATGGTGCAGATCCCGGGCCCCTGGGCCTGCTGGCCTCTGTGCAGGCAGACCTGTGCCCGCCGAGCCTCAAGCGTGGGCCATCACAGTGTCCACCTGTTGTGCCATTCCCAAACCCACCTGGGCCCCTGACTTTGACAGACCTGGGCCTTAGACAGAAATAACTTCCCCCCGCCTGGTGGTACTGCCTGCCTGTCCGTGGCTAGCCATGCAGTCCCTCTAGGTCCCAAGGGGAGGGTCGAACAGCAGGCCCCGTTTCTAGGTAGGCAGGGGTCCCACAGCAGATGAGTGAGCAGGTGGGGCTTCCCTGGGCCCAGAGCCCATACCCCACACCCCACACCCATCTTGGCTTTGCCGGCTGAGCAACCTCAGGTGACCATGTGGCTCTGTCATGGAGCGCAAAAACAGCCACGGGCAGCGTGTGAGCCCAGGATCATGGCTGTGTCCCAGCAAAAGTTTCCTCACCAGACAGGCACGGGGCCTTAGTGTAAGTCAGGCCCTGCTCACCCCCTTCTGCCTTCCTGAGTGCTGGGAGAGGTTAGGTGAGGACCTGGAGGGCCTCCTGGAAGAGGTGTCAGCCCAGAGCTGGTCGCTGGGCGATGCAGGCAGTGCAGAGGCATGTCGCTCTGAGCGACCTCCGAAACGGTCATGGGTAGCTGTTCACGGAGCCTTCGCGGCTTCCAACCCTGACGTCCCTCCGGGGCAGAGCGAATCTCTGATGGGGTCTGGGTTGCCCCCCTGCTGGATGTGAGACAGACCCTAGGCCCGCTGCCCGTCCTCTAACAGACCGTAGTAGGTGCAGCAGGCGGAGCCCAAGGCCCAGTGTCCTTTCAGGGCAGAGACAGCGCCCCGCTGAGCCAGCGACTCGGGCCCCGGTTTGCGGCTCCCAGCCCTGCCCCCGTCCCTATGGCTGACGGCTCCTTTCTCCTTGGAACGGCCTTGCGTGTGCCGGCGCCGCCCCATGACCTGTGAGGTCAGCTGCTTCAGGGAGCAGCCCAGGCCTTCCAAGGAACTGGGTTGAGCTTATCTGGGGCCTTGACATTGAGGCCCCTGGTGTGGCCCTTGGATCGGGTGCTCACCCCACAGCGTCTCTGAACACAGCGGTGCCAGGCCCGTGAGTTCTCTCCCACTTGGTCACCTCCTCCCTCGTCTTGCAGGCTTCGCCGTGGCTCAGTGCATAAACCAGCACAGCTCGCCCTCCCTGTCCTCGCCATCGCCGCCCTCCGCCAGCGGGAGCCCCAGCGGCAGCACCGGCCACTGTGACTCAGGAGGCGCCAGCTCATCGTCCACACCCTCCGCCACCCAGAGTCCTGCAGGTATGGGCCCGGGGCAGGGCGGGGGCCTGGTGGAGCACCCCGATTCCTCACCGCCGTAGTCACGACCACCGTCACCCAGCTCCTCCTTGTCACGGTGTCTGGAGGAGCTGCCCCAGGCACGCCCTTGAGTTGCTGTTGCCCGCAGGCAGGCTGGGGGAAACAGCTCCTGCCAAGGCTGCTGCACAGCAAGGCCTTCCCTGCCTGCAGAGCCGAGGGGCCCCCGCAGCAGGCGGGCTGAGCCCCGGCCCACCCCATCGGCACCCCCGAGTTCCAGGTGTCGCAAGGAGGGCTCTCCCAGAGGCCATTGTTCCAGCCCTGGGAGGAGAATCTTGCATGTCTGTGCAGCCCAATTATGTGATGAGCTGGAGGCGCACAGCCGTCTAACTTACACCAGTCCCGGCACGGCACGGAGGAAGCCAGGAGCAGGCAGGAGGCCCCGCAGCCAGCCAGGAACCCGACGTACAAGTGGGTCCCTCCCCCCGCCCCTCGCAGTCACCGCCCTGAGTCCCTGCACGTGAGCGCCTGCCTCACTGTGTGAGATCCCAGGGAGCAGACACTGGGCTTCTCTCTCTGGGAGTGGGGCCCGCGCGCGGGTGGGCCTTGGGGGCCAGTGTGGCGCTTCACACCGTGGCAACATCGCGCTGTGGCTCTGGGGGTTCCCAGCGACTCAGGCTGCTCCCCCAGTTCAGGTCCTTTGCTGTCCCTGATCCAGAACTTTCGCCCGTTGTGCTGTAGGGGCGCCTGACCGGATTATGGATTGAAGGATTGCGACGAAACAGACATGGCAGGGCAGGGGCCATGCAGTGCCAGGATCTCCCTGGGCACCCGCGCCTCTCCCTGCAGCCATTTCCGCCCCTGTGTTCCCAGCAGAGTTAGGCCAGCCCGTGCCCGTGCCTGTGGCTCAGGGCATCCCTGCTCGCCTGTGCCTCCTGCAGTGAAGTATCCATCCATCTCCTGCTGACAGCCAAAGGCCCAGGCCCCAAGATCACCCCCAAGCCGCCGCCCAGGCTGGGGGGAGGTGGCCGCCTGTCTCAGCTGTTTCTGAGCTTGACTTAAGGTTGGCTACACGTGTATTTCCAGCAGTGACTGGCATCACTGGCTCCAGGCTCGTAGCTGGGAAGTCCAGACGGAGCTTCCTCCAGAAGCTAAGCGCAGCCCCTCAGGGGCCCTCTTGGTCCTGGTCCCATGCAGGGTTGTGTGTCTGTCCTGTGTGTGCACCCAGTCACACCTACTTACACCTGCATGGGGGTGAAAGGTCTCTTCCCGAGGGAGCCTTCGTGCTCAAGGAGGCACAGCCAGCAGCTAAGTGAACAAAAAAGCCAGCAAAGACCCCCATCATCAAAACCAGGCCTCCCCCGAGCGCCACACCTGTGGCTTGGGCTCTGCACCTCCTGCCGGAAGCGGGTGTCTCACTGAGCGCCGCTTTCTTTCTTCTTAGCCTGCTCCTACCCCTCCCCGCCATTCCCTGCAGTGCCAAGGACACGGCTTCTCATCCTAGGAATCCAGGGGCTGTTAGCCTGGCTGGCAGGTGCCAGGTGATAAGTGGAGGGCAGGACCTCCCAGGTCTGCACCCCAGGCAAGCCGTGAGGTACCATGCAGGTCCCTGGTTTTTGGATCTTTGGTTTGTTTTTTTGTTAATGTCACTTAACACTGAAAGCCCGAGGCCCAGCTGCCTTGGGACGCAGCCGCTGGCCCCTGGGAAGAGAAGGTGTCAGAGGCCGTGACCCCCAGGCTTGCCTTCAACCTCCCCAGTCCATCCAGTGGCAAGGCCGGGGAGTATCCGTGTTCTAGGTCGTCATCGTGGGTGTAGTGAGATGGTATACAGGGGGGAACCAGGGACAAGGAAGGGAGGCTGGGAGGGGAGCCCTTCTGCCAGATGCCTGGTTTGACATCTCTTACCCTTGTAGGGCCCGCCTGAGCTGGTCCACGCAACTCCCCGCCGCCCTGGGCCCAGACAGCTACAGAGCCAGCACTCTGAGTGCCTCTCAGCCACCACAGCCACACTGCATGGTCAGGTGTCTGGGCGAGGGCGTGACAGATGCCACCTGCCAGGTGACAAGACAGGCCCCGCTTTCCATGGCTCTGCCCCATGGTTTTGGAGACTTGAACTAAACGAAGATATCACTAAAAACTACGGTTAAACAGGATTAATCCAGTGTTCTATAACACAGTAGGGTGATACTAGTTAATAATAATCTGTTGTGAATTTCAAGAGAGCCTTGTGAATCTTCCAAGACAAAGAAGCAGTCAATGTCGGAGGCGAGGGAAATGCTGATTGCCCTCTTCTAATCATTACATATTTCATACAGCGTCAGAATGCCAGAGTGTACCCCACAAACATGCACACTGTGGGGGGGGTTGAGTTTTTAGTGAGGGGTAAAGGTAACCCTGGCACTGCAGCAGTTAGCAGGGCTGGGCTCCCACCAGAGCCACCTCCTCAGTGAGCACCTGCTACATGGCGCCCAGCAGACACCGATCCTGAAACCAAGCCCACTTGGTGGCAGGCACTGGGCTCCATGGCGCACCTTCCACACGCCACTGCCCCTCAGCAGGCCGGGCTGGGCGGGCCCTGTCACGGGAAGGCCCCAGATACCATGGCCCCTGCCGGCCTAAGTGGGTTCAGCCTGCGTGGCCCAAGGGAGCTGATGTTTGGGTAGGTTATCTGCCTCCAGCCTGCATCAGCTCAGAAGGCCTTGGGCTTCCTGCCTGGGATTGAGACACAGATGTTCCCAGTTTCCTGTGGGGCCTGCAGTGTGCACTCGTGGGATTTGGGAAGCCCAGCTTCCCCACTTGGCTTTGTGGACTCGAGGCCGGATCCAAGAGGCCCGCCCACTCGTGGCCTCCCCGACTCTGACTGCATTAGTTTTGGCTAAACAAGCAGGTTTATATCGAGCCCTTACTGAGCACAGGCGTTAGGAGTGTTGGGTGGCAAAACGAGGCTCTCACAGGTGAGCAGAGGCACAGACCCTTGGACTCCCATGCGGCCAGTGTGCGGCCACCAGCTACAGTGGGGGGAGGCAGCGTGCGGGACTCCACAGCCAGATGGCACAGCTGCAGGAGGCCCTGGAGGGGACACCCCGAGAATGGGGGCTCCCACATGAGCCCACCAGCTCGCTGGAGACCCGTCATTCCTCTCCCTGTCCCCGTAAGGTCCCTGTAGGTTCTGTCCTTCCCAGTACAGACCAGGGGGCAATCTGTCTCTGAGAAGCAGTCCCTGGCCCATTAGGGCCAAGGCCCAGGGCCCAGCAGTGACATCAGGCCAAGAGGCACAAATCTGGGCAGGCCTAGAGCGGGTGGCGCCGCCTCAGCTGGCACGTGGAGGGGACCCCCCAGGGGTCACCCAGAGACGCCGCCTGTGCCAGCAGCTCCTGCCTGGGTCTCCTGCACGTGCCAGAGGCAGAGCTGCGAGCACTCTGGGGTGGATCTCCAGAGGTGCTGGCCCACAGTCCCGATCCAAGAGGAGACCTGCCGAGACTGAGTTCCCTGATGGGCCTGTAGAAACCCGCCGGGAGTAAGGGGCTTTGCTTTCCTTATCAGGGGACCTGAATGGCCTCGCTCCATCTGAGGCCCTCTGGGACGCCCCAGGGCCTTGTGGGAGCGCTGGACACCCTGCCCTGGGCCGTGTCCAGGACGCAAGCTTCTGGTCGCCTACACATCCACCATAACCACCTGCGAGGCCTCCGCTCTGTCCCTAGTGAGAAGATTACAGGCCTGGAATCAGCCTTGTATCCCCTAAAGTTCATGGTTTTGAGAACTGAAATTGCAGAGGACGTGTGGTGGGAAAGGGAAGACGGGCCCGATTCGAGAGCCAAATGTGGGGGTGATAGGAGGCATCTTCTGGGTTACCCCTGTGTGATGTGCACATGTGCACACGCACGTGCACCCTCGTATCATGCATGCACACGCTCACAGGGACACACGTGCCAGTGCACACACATACATGCTCACACATGCACTCACAGTCATACATGCCAATACATACTCACCCAGGGCACACACACTCGCACCCAGCTGCTCATCATGCACTCAGTCATACGTGCACACTCATAGCACGCATGCACACGCTCACAGGGACACACGTGCCAGTGCACACACTCACCCAGCCACTCATCATGCACTCACAGTCATACACGCCAGTGCACACGCTCACACAGGGACACACACAAACACGCACAGTAACATGTGTGCTTATGCACGCACATATACCTGCACACTTGCATAGTAACACTAACCAGTGCACACACTGAGTACAGTTCTGATGAGAAAGCCATGTCCTCAGATCAAGGCTCTGTGACCTGCACGGAGCTCCCTGAGCAGCCTCCAGTCTCCAGGTTGGATGCACGTCCCACGTGTGCAGAGTGAGCTAGCTCCTGGGCAAGGAGATCAGAAAATGACATCAGTGAAGGGCACCCGCTGTTTGAAACATGGGTTTGTGAGGCGTACCAGATTCTGAGCCATGGCCACCTGCGACTCTCCCCTGAGGTTCTACAGACAGACAGAGAAGGAGGAAGGGAGGCAGTGCCATTCCCGGTGGTGCCAACATCCGGGGCTTCTGCAGTGCTCCCCGCACCGCACCTGCTCCCTGGGCCCCTCTCTGAGCACAGCATCCCCACTGCGCCCCTCCCGTTTGGGTCACAGGGGAGCCAGACAGCCCCTGTCACCAACTCCGCACCTCAGTCCCCGGGACTCCCAGACAGAAGCTCCGAGAAGGAGGCCTTGTCTCTTCTCCCCAGCTTTGTGTGTGTGGCAAAATCGCGCAGCGTCGTGTGCCGTGTCCGCCTTGTTCGGTGCAGCCCGGGGTCCGGGGGCACTCGCTGCTCCGCGGTGTGTCTCTGACATGGTGGCTGCTTCCTCCACCTGGCCTCAGCTTCTCCCGCTGTGGCTCGGTCCTGGCGTTGGCAGGTGCGGATCAGCGGTCTCCCCGGGGCTGAGGGAGGAGGGCACCGAGCAGCTCGGGCAGCCTGGGCTTTCCCGGAACCCGCGAGGCGGGCTGCTGCCATTCCCCAGTACAACACGGAGGACCATCAGCCTCCTCCATTGGACTTGGAAATCTGCTTGGCCTGCTTGGCTGGTTTGGCGCAGATCCTCCAGCCACACACCCTGCCCTGCTCAGGCTGCCCTGGGCACGTGGGGGCTCTGTTTGTTCACCTCTGGCCCGCAGCGAGAACGGACAGGCACTGGCGTCTGTCTGAACCCACGCCGACCGACAGCCCCTGGTCTTTCTTCCCACAGGACTGAACCTTCTCTGTGCATAACCTCACCAGACGCGCGAGTGAACGCCTCGGTTCTGAAATGTCCCAACCCTGCCTTGTCCTAGGGAGCGCGACATGGGTGTCCCCTCTGCCCGGGGTGGCGGCAGGCGCCCCGCCAGGCCCCGCCCCCCTCCTGCCCCGCCTCCCGTGGCCGGTGCTTGGCGTCCGCTGCTGCTCCGTGGCCCTCTCTCCGTGTCCCCTGCGCTGTGCCGTTGTTGAAGGCTCTGTGTGATCTGTCGCTGTGTTTTCCCTCTAGTCAGGAGTGGCAGGAAAGGACGCCGGCGAGTGTTCAGCCTGTCGGAGGCCGACAGTCACGGCGGCCACTGGGTTTAGTGCTTCGAACGGCAGCTGCCACGGCAACCCACGCGCAGTCACTTCAGGCAGGTCTCCTCCGTTAGCCCTGTGGGCCCGCGACCTCCTCCCGCCACGGGGCAGCCACTGCGCCAGCCTCCCGGTCACGTCTCCTCCGCTCCCCCTAAGCAGGGCCTTCCCTGTCTTGTCCTCAGCCCTCTCCCCGCCGCCGGTTCTTCCAAGCCAGCCCTGTGCGGCCTGGAAGCTGTCCTTGTCCGAGAAACACGGCCCAGCGTCACTCGCCCGAGAAGCAGGCCGAGTCCCCGCCCCGAGTTCCCGCAGGACCCAGGGTAGGCCGTGGGAGTTGGGTGGCGGTGAGCTGGAGAATGAGGATCTGTGATGAGCCACCAGGAGGCCACTTTCCCTTTTCCTTTTGTCCCCGGCCTGTTGCTGAAAGCCAGGGGCCAGATGGAGGCCAGCAGGCATGTCCCCCAGCGGTGCACGCCCCGAGCGGTGCACACCCCGAGCGGTGCACGGGTGCCGCTTTCCCGGCAGCGCTCGCGCCGAGTGGCCGTGCGTCCGGCCGCGTCCCCTCCTGTGGCAGTCGCGCTTGTCAGCCGGGCCCCGCGCCTTCTTTTTCGTTTCCCAGCCGTTTGCTCTGCGCTTGTCCCCCGAGCCTGCCGCGCGGGACTCAACATTCCCCCCACATCACTCAGCCCCGCCCACCCGGCTCGGCACCTCGAACCACAGCTTGCCTGGAAACTCCCACTCAGCTGCCAGGACCCGCTGAGGCCACACATGTCCGAGGCTGCATGGGAGGGGAGACCCAGGCCTGGCTGTCCGTGGAGGTCATGCCTCATTCATGCCCGCTCCAGCCTCGGCTCTGTCTCCCCGTCCACGGCTAGCTAGCCAGACTCTCCTCCAGACCCCCATCTCTCGGCCTAGACCCTAACTCTTCAGCAGCAGGCCAGTGAGGCCACAGGAGCCTGTGCAGCCCACGGCTGGACCAGAGTCCTGTCGTCGCGCCCTGGTCGGAGGCCGAGCTCAGGAAGCAGCTCTCGGCAGGTGGAGGGAGAGGCGGGGCAGCGTTGCAGGTGGTGGGTGAGAGATCACGGTTCCCCAGCACCCAAATAGGAAGAGGCTCTTCTTAAGGGAAAACCACACTTGTAATAAAGGGTGTCGGTTCTTTTCCTTAAAAAGTGACCGATTTCGTGTGCCTGGTGTGGTTTGTTGGTTTGCTTTGTGAATAGATGTGCCTACAACTTTCGAGTATCCTCGGTTGTTACTGTCAGAAGCCCCCGCTAGGAAGCAGGGAGAGAGAGCAGCCAGCCTTTTTGGGAACTGCACACAGCAGCCCCGGGCCAGGAGGGGACTCGCACGGGGTGTGCAGGGTTTGCAGGATTCCTGCTTTCCCAGCGGCCTCACTGGTGGAGGCCGCCGGAGCAGGTGGGCCCGGCTCAGAGAGCCACACTGAGTGCAGGAGGCGGGATGGCCCCAGCCTACCGCAAGCGTCCTCACCGAGTGGAGTGGGTGGAGTTGACGCTCAGGGGAAGCAGGGGCCACGTGTAGTGAGTGTTCAGCAGCGTCCAGCTCCGGTCACAGCCACCCGCTCAGGGCAAGGACAGACCCCACCCCGCGAGCACCATGCCCTGGAAGTCTCGGACCTTCCCTCTTTCTCTCCGCCCACCACCCCCACCCCGGCCCTTTTTCCCTCTGAAGACAACACCAGGCCCTGAGAAGCGTTGGTTGGCACTTGGAGCGGGCGCCGGAGCGCTGTGGGGAGGCACGTGTGGCACCTGCTCCGGGGTCCCTCCGCTGCTTCTGCTTCCTCCGTGGGGCGCCCCTCCCGCTCCGTCTGGCTGCTCTTTGGTTCTTATTTTGCTCTTGGTTTTCCCATTCCTTTTGCTCTATGTTCAGTTTGCCTTTCTGTTTTATTTTGGCTTAATTAAAAAAAAAAAACTAGGAAAAAATCCATTGAACAGAATCAAACAAAAAGCAGCTACCCTGAGCCCTGGGCCCGGAACGCCGTCACACTTGCAGCTCTGAGCAGCCGCTTGTTGGCCCCAGGATCCGGTCAAGTGCAGATCTGCTTTCTGAGCGGGACGCTACCATCCGCTTCTCCACGTCTCTCTGGGTGCCCAGAGTCTCCGGTCCTGGCACGTGTTGCCCACAGGCCAGCTCCTCGCTCGGAAGCAGATGGGCTCTCATTTGTCCATAATATCATCATTATTTTGCAAAGCACCCAAAAAAAAAAAAAAAAAACAGCGCCAGGTGGAGCCTGGCCTGCCTGCCTGCTGCCATGTGCTTTCCCGTGGTCCCTACGGGGAGGCCTGGGCGGGCCCAGCCCCTTGCTGCCCGCTCAGCACTGCAAGGCGACAGGGTCCGGGGTTTTACTGTGACTTTGCAAGCTAAAAGTTCTCCAGACATTACTTTTTTTTTTTTTTTTAATACTGCAGCGGGCTGGCTCGCAGGTGAATGTCCCCATAGTAGACTCTGGAAATGGCCCAAGGTCGTAAGCACCCCTGAGCCCATTCCCATTTACTGTTGCTTGTCAGGCAGAAGACCCTAGAACCCTCAGGACTTGACCCCGCTCCCCCAGGCCTGGGCAACCCTGGGGGAAATGGGGCCAGGCCACGCCCCCCACAGCCACCTCCCACCTGGGGACCGGCGTGGGCAGGTGCACCCAGCATTGAGTGTGCCCGTTTTCTTCTCCCGCCACCCAGATGCCCCCACAAGTCCGGAACAGCCTCAGCCTCACCTTCCTGACCAGCTGGTGATCGTCAACGAAATAGCAGACTCCAAGCCCAGCAAGAGCTCGGCCAGGGGCGCGGAGGTGGAGACGGCCCACCTGTCCCCCAGCCTCCTCCCTGCCCAGCAGCCCACCATCTCCCTGCTCTCCGAGGACGCGGCCGACTCGCTGAGCGTGGAGTCGCTGACGCTCGTCCCGCCCGTCGACCCTCACAGCCTCCACACCCTGGCTGGCATCCCCGGACCTCCCGTGCCGGCTGCAGGGTGCACGGCGACCCCGGACGAGGAGGCCGCGTGTGCCGAGCACTGAGTGGGTGCCGGGGCCTCCCGTGGTGCGTGTGGCCCCACTGGAAGGCACCGCAGGGCAGGCGACTAGCAAGACACCCACAGTTCCGCACGGCCGTCGCCATCTCCGCCCCTCTCCCTGCGCCCCTCGCATATGAAGACTGCTCCGTTGGGATTTTCCGCTGCGAGGGCAGCCCCCGGGGGCAGGACCCACCGGCACCCCCCCTCCCTCCCACCAGCTCAGCGTGCGCGGGGGAGCCTGCGTAGAAGTTGGTAGAAACGCGGACTTAGATAAACATCTCCTCTGGCTATTTATTTCTGCCTTTGGCAACAGATGAGACACATTTATTTAAAAAGCACCTCCGTGGAAAAAATGTCCACAAACAGTCCTCAGCGCCACGGTTTGATGCCGTGTTGAAAGCGTAGTAATACTGCTAAGATTTCGTTTTCATTTTCCCTTCAACTTCCAATTTTTTCTTTTTTTGAGTTCTCAGCGTAGCCGCCTGCGTTTTTGAAAGTGGTTCTTACTTCTCTGTTAGCCCCTAACTCTGCAAGCCTGTGGAACGATTCAGAACTTTCCTGCGAAGGTCAGATTATTTTTTAAACAAAAAGAAGGGAGATACACGCATTCTCAGGTACACCCAGGACCGGGAGGCCAGTCTCCGCCAACGCCGCCAGGAGGCCACGCGTGACCTGGACGAGAGCTTTCTGTGAGACGGGAGGCCCCAGCCCCTCTGTCCACGGAGGCCAAGCAGGAGCCGGGTTTGCAGCGCCCGTGGCGACACGGAACGTCCCGCCCCGGCTCCCAGGGCAAGGCCACGTTGCAAAAGTGAAAACCCCCGTGGCGAGGCCGCCCTCCAAGCAGTGACTGGGTGTGGCCAGGGGGCGGGGCGGGACCTTGCCCGGCTTTCCGTCGGAGGTGTCCACGGGGGCGTCCACCCACGCCCCGGCTGTGGGGCCGCCTCGGGATGGTCTGAGATGGCGCCGGCCACCTGTTCGGGGAACGCTGCCCTCAGCCCTCTGCCACGCCGGCAGCACTGGCGGCCTCCGCTGAGGCGGGACCCGGCTACGGGGGGGAAGCGGCGTTCCCTGCAGGCATCAGAAGCCCCCAGCGGCTTGTCCACCCAGCTCCCCCGGCCAGGGGACCTGAGCGGGAGCAGAGAGGAGACCGTGGAGGCCGAAGGGCCAGCGAGGGGTGCAAGGAAGCTGCAGCACAGAGCGGGGCTGGTCGGGGGAGGGGCTGCCTCCTCCAGGGGGCCAGCTTGACCTTGTAGACATGGCTGAGTGGACGTGGGAGCAGGCTAGCCCAGGGCCACGCACAGCTGGCTCTGAAACGCCTGTCTGTGCAGCAGGAATGGCAGTGGGCCCGGGGCCCCCCTGCCCAGCCGCACTGCTGTAAAAGAACAGCCTGGAGCCCCCGCAGCCACGCCCGGGACCCCCGCCTGCCTTGTAAACCCAGTGGTTCCAGCGGCCTCATAGAACGGCATCAGGCGGGGGTGACGGCGTCTCTGCCCACTGCCGCTGGCCGACGACAGGGTGGGCCTGCTGGCCCGATCCCAGGCCGGCTTCAGCCGCGGCTGGCGGCTCCCCTCAGCAGCTGTGGGGTGGGCCCCCGGCACTGGAGGGGAGCAGACAGAGCGCGCATCCTTGTCCTGGGAGGTCTGGGAGTCTAGGGGAGGCAGCCAGCCCTGAGGATCTGAGGAAGGACCCTGCCTCGCCCCGGGCTTGGCTGGCTTGGTGGCAGTGGCCACAGCTGCGTCTTCAGGAAGGCCATGACCGGAACAGCTGGCACGCTCCAGGCAGCCCTGGCGGGCGGAACACACCGGCTGTCTGGCACAAGGTGGCAGGAGCCGGAGCCAGGACTGTGTGGAAGAGGCAGCCGGGGCCAGGGCCCCCCCAGTCCCCAGCTGGGCCGGGCCGGTTTGCTGAGATGCAGCCAAGGTGGCCCTGTGACTCTGCACCTGGGCTTTGAGAGTTGCCATGGAGACTTGGCAGCCGGGACTCCTCTCCCAGCAGGTCAGAGGGCAAGGGGAGGGGCTCCTGTGGACCTGTAAGGAGCCAGCTGCAAAGCCAGGCTGGGGCTGGGGGGCCGTCTTCCTGGGAGCAGGGGCTGCCCCCACCCCCCAGTACCTGCCCAGCCCGAGGCCGCCTCCGGCCATCTCTGGGGTCAACAAGCCATCCAGGGGTGAGCCAAGGACGCCTCTGAAACGCGCACCGCATTTCTCCAAGGTCTCTGAGACAGAGGCACGGGTGAGCTGACCCTGACCCTCTTCTAGACGCAATAAGTGTGAGACATTTGATGTAGTCATGCTGACGTCAGGCATAAATTATTAGAATTCCTTGTGTTTCCTTGAACAGAGAGTATGTAAATAACTTGTCCCGGGAAGCAGCAGGGGCCAGGAAGTCTTGGTGCTCCTTCCCCTCGGGGTTCTCGGGAAGTACCTGCCCTGGCCAGCGTGAGTCACGCTTCGTGGGTACTGAACACGAGGGTGGAAACGAAAACTGGAACTTCCTTGTAAATTTGATCTTGGCAATAAAAAAGAAAAAGGCTACTGAGAACGTGGCGTGCTGCTCCTGGGCGCGACGGCGGGAGGCCGTGGCCTGGCTGAGCAGAGCGCTCCCGGCTGCTGACCCCTGGCCGTCAGCTCCCTGCAAGTCTGACTGCGAGGCCCAGGCCTTCAGAGTCTCGGGGTCCGAGCCCCCCGGCCATGTCCACCGGGTGCCATGACCGTGGAGGCCCCTGCCCTTGACCGTGTGGGCACAGATGGGTCAGCAGCATCCTAGAGGGGCCCGCCTGCCGGGAGCCCACAGAGATGGCCCAGGGCGGCCTCGGGCTGGGCAGGTACTGGGGGTCCAGCTGCCTCCCTCCCCATCCCTACTTCGTGCAAGGGCTCTCTTCATACAGAGGGGGAAACTGAGGCCTGCCTGCTCCAGCCGGAACATCTCCAGGCGGGGCATAGGACGGCGGAAGCAGCAGTTTGCAGTCGATGCTGTTGGAACATTCATCCCTAAACCAGAACCAGGCCTCGCAGAGCTGGCCAGTGAGCCCCTCGTGCCCTCCGTGCAGTCCTGGGCACGCGTGGTGGTCAGAGAGAAAGGCAGCTTCCTCCTCTCTGGCTTTGGAGAAAAGCCCATCATGCCTTTGGGTTGCGCCCCCACCTGCCCTCGCAGGGTCCTTGGGTTTGGGGGGACAGGAAGTCGGTGTGCGCTGGAAGCAGCTCACCGAGGGTCAGCTCCATCAGCAGGTGCAAGGGGGCAGGGGAGGGCAGGTGGCAGTGTCCCACCTGCAGGTGACTCTGGGGAAAAGCCCATCCCCAGCCGGGCAGCTGCCGGAAACCCCCTTCCCCTCCTGTCCCGCTGCCTCGGGCACTTTGGGTACTGGGAAGAAGCCCTCAGCATCTAAAGTTTTTCTCCAAAGAAGAGGGGTTCTAATCACTGAGTCCACGTGGGGCTTCCCTGGGTTCATTCGAGGGGGCCCCGCAAGCCAGCGGGGAAGGCTCCTCAACCCTTGTGCAGCCTTGGGGCCCCAGCGGCCTGCTCGCTGCCCCTCTGCCTGGGCCACTGCAGCAGCCCCAGCCCCGGCCCCCCAACCACAGCCACGTGGGCTCAGCTCTGAGCCAGCAGCTGTGCCCACCCCACCCACAGCCACCTCACCCCGGGTCCCTTGACTTTTTAAACTCACTGCTGCAAACAAAGCCACGCCCCTTGCCACCCTCCTTGCCCAGGGCTGCCGTGACGAATGATGGGAACCAAGCGGCTCCGGCAGAAAACAGCGGTCTCTTCTCAGCTCTGGGGGCCGTGAGTCCAAACGCAAGGTGCTGGCCGGCTCACCTCCTTCCCGTGGCTCGCCGCCCTCGCCGCTCCTGCTGCCTCCTGCAGCGCCCCGGCTAGGGGTGGGGGAGCTTGTGCGTACGTGACAGCACACTCAGCCTCTGGCGTCCCTGCGTCTCTGTGTGGAAGCCCCCTCGCCTTCCCTGGTCAGGATGCCAGTCATCAGACGTAGGGCCCACCCTGGTCCAGGGTGACCTCAAAATGCTGCACTTCACTTCCTCTGCAAAGACCCTGATTCTAAACAAAGTCACCTTGCTGGGCCCCGAGGGTTAGGACAGACACGTCCTTATGTGGGGGTTGCCTTGCACACACCCAGGAAAAGCAAATCCTCAGGTCGTGGTCCCCGCCCGCCTTGAGTTAGAGCGGAGGGCGGCTGGGGTCAGAGACCCGTCCGCACCCAGCGAGGCTTTGTCTCTGACGAGGTCGGCAGGGTTCTCTGTGCAGCTAGGCCGTTTCAGTCGGTGTCCTTGTGCCCCTAACGGTCATCTTGGGGGTGCCTGCTGGCAGTGCACAGAGGTCACAGGTCATGGCGTGCTGGAACTCTCTCTCAGTCCCCGTTTCCCAGAGACCCGGCCGCAGGCAGCAGCGGCCCCTGATTCGGCCCAGTGTCCATGGGCCCGGGCTCCCCAGGAATGCACTGACTGCACGGAGGGCGGGATCCTTGGATACGGTCATACTGGTGTGGCCATGCCCATGGCCGTGGCCTCCAACCGCATCCTATCTATTGTACTCTGGGGCCTTGCAGGTCTCCCCAAGGCCAGCTGGAATTCTCTAGAAGAATCGGCCAGGGCAGCGGCATTAGAGGGCTCTCCTTTGCCACACTCAGAGGCTTCCCAGGTATCTGAGCTACGACTGAGCTGCCGCCAGCTTCCTCGCATCCAGGGCTACCTCGGCAGCAGGGCAGACCCGGTGCAGCGGACGGGGCTCAAGTCCCTGGCCGCCCGCGACGCCCTCCGTCCTGCAGCCTAGAGCGCACAGTTCAGCCTCCGCGGGCGACACAGGAGCCCCTTGGGCAGGGCCCTTGGCTGTGCGGGTGAAGCGAGAGAACTCAGTGACAGGTCAGCGCAGCCTGGCGCGGGCGATCCCCGCCCCGGGCCTCCCGCAGCCCAGCGAGGGTCACACCAGCTGCCCGGGCCTCCTGGGACGTGGTGAACCCGTCTCTGCGGGGTGGGGGTTGGGCGTGGCCGAGTGGTTAATAGGCTGGGGGAATGCCCACGCCCCACATCAGAGTGCCTGGTCCCAGCCCCGGCCCTGAACCAGCTGGGTCCCTGTCCCCCACGTGGGCGGCCTGGGTGGAGCTCAGGACTGCCAGTTTTTACCTGGACCCAGCCCTGGCTGTCCTGAAACGAGACACACACACACACACACACACCCCCCGCCGTGCCTGCCTGTCTCTGTCACTCTGCCTCTCAAATGTAAAACAAACAACAGAACCCTGTCAAGAGCGGCTGTGCTGGTTCCCCGGGTGCATAGCTCGTCCGGGCTCCAGCAGGCCCAGGCGGCCAGTGCAGCTCCGTGCCTGGCTGTGTCTGCGGGGCTGTTTCTGGACAAGATCAGCACGGGCGCCACGTGGGCTACAGAAGACCCCTGTGCTCAGGGGGGTGGGGGGAGGGCGGCCTGCTCCCCGCCTGGGCTGGGCCTCCTGGCACCCGGGCTGGAGCCACACCGCGGCTTCCCTTGCGGACAGCGGCCTGTGGAGCTCCATGGCCTCCGCGAGCCCAATCCCATGATGCACCTCTTCCGACGCCTCTCTTCTGATGCCTGTTGTTAGTTCCAGTCGCTTGGAGAACCCTGACTGATGGAGCCGCCAGGCAAGAAGCCAGCCCAGGCCCCGTCTGCAGCCTGCCCCTCTCCCCGAGGACCCCAGCCTGTCCCCCCACCACCACCAGCAGGACCTTGGCACCTGCCTTTCTTCTCCTGGAGCCCCGCCCCCACCCCATCCCCGTGGCCACTCCTGGTGTAGCATCAGCACCACCTTCCCATGTCCCGGCAGCCACCCATTTCCTTCCTGGCCCTGTCACACCTTGAAGGATGTTTGTTCCAAATCCCATTGTTTTCATCTGGGAAACCCTGATAGGCGAGCCTGTGAGGAGCGAGTGCTGGGGGCAGCTGGTGTCCCAGGAAGCAGGGGCTGCAGCGGGTGTGCTGTGGGGTCCTGGCACCCAGGGCCTGAACCTGCGGGGCGTGGAGAGGGGGCGGGGCTTCTGCCGACTCTCGAGCCGGGTTGGTGGAGAGCTGTCCAGGGGCGGGGACAGCTGATTTCCTCCCGAGCAAGCTGCTCCTCCGGACAGAAACTTGGAGCCTTAGCAGGTGCGGGAGGCGGAGGCTGGAGCCTGGGGACCTGGTTGGGCCCTGGCCGCCCAAGTGCCCCACCGCACTTCCGGAGAAACGGCGAGCCAAGGTGTCAGACGCTGCGGATCCCGTGCGAGTGGCCGGGTCTCTGGCTTCTCTTGGAATGTCTGGGATAGAGACGGTGGGCCCATCTCCATCGGGAGGTGAGATCCGGGCAGCCCAGGCAGGGTGGGCTCGCCACGCCCGCAGCCCTCCCCTCCCCTTTGGCTGCAACGGGGACTGGGTCTCGGGGGTTTCCTGTTATGCGTCTATGACGTCCTGAGCCCGGCGTCCACGCCTTCATCAGGTCCAGGAGATGAGAGCAGCGCCTACCTTCCCACTGTCCCCTGCCCTACTTGCTCAAGAGACGACCCGATCCGTGTGTGACTGAGCCAGCCCCTGCCGAGGCCACCTTCCTAGGCCTCCCTCTGCCCCCTCCCCCCGAGGCAGCAGAAATATCCCCGTCACTGTGCTCTGGGCCAAGCCAGGGCTCTCGCTTTCTCTCCACCACCTCCCGAGTCCCTGGCAGCAAAGGGCCAGGCGCAGAGAGGCCCCTCGGCCGGGGCAGGATGCAGGGCAGGGGCCCCTCTGCACGCCCACCTTGCCCGGGCGCTGGCACTGTCCCTGTTTCCACGGCGTCTGAGAAGAGTGGTTGTGCTGCCGCCTGCCCGGTGCGGAGTGGGCGTCAGAATGACCCTGCCTTTAGCTCTGAATTGCTTTTCTTGAGAGTGACAGAATGGGGAGGAGGGAGAGAGAGAGAGAGAGAAACCGTCCATCCACTGGTTCACTCTCCAAATGGCTGCAAAGGCCGGGGCTAGGCCAGGCGGAAGCCAGGAACCAGGGACTCCATCTGGGTCTCCCACGCGGGTGGAGAGGGCCTGAGCACTTGAGCCATCTTCCGATGCCTTCCCAGCTCCATCAGCAGGGAGCCGGATGGGAAGGGAGCAGCCAGGACTCGAACCCGCACTCTGATACGGGAGCCAGCGTACCACGTAGCAGCGTAGCCTGTGGTGCCACAGTGCAGGCCCCCGATTACTATCATGATTGTTAACTGAGGCCAGAGTCACCCAACATAAAGTGAGGCGTGTTCAAGCAAACAGTTCCAGGGCATGGGGTTCGCCTGTGACCATTGTGCCACCTGCCCGCTCTGTCCAGTTCCAGAACGTTCCGTCAAAGAAGCAACCACACGCCCATGAAGCTGTCCCCCTGCGCTCTCCCCCTGCCTTGGCCCCTGGCGGCCACGAGCCCTTGTGTGTCCGTGGAGTTGTGCGTTCAGACACTTTGGGCTGTGGACTCCTGTGCGTGCCGCCTCGGCTGCCTTCTCGCTCCCGGAGTCCTGTTTGAGGCCCCGGTCTGGGGCCGAGTCACGCCCCGTGCTGTGCATCTGCCGTCCGGCG